AAAGGAAGTTCTGGGTTATTAGTCTCTGGAACCAGAGGAAGTTCAGGGTTATTAGTCCCTGGAACCAGAGGAAGTTCTGGGTTATTAGTCCCTGGAACCAGAGAAAGTTCTGGGTTATTAGTCCCTGGAACCAGAGAAAGTTCTGGGTTATTAGTCCCTGGAACCAGAGGAAGTTCTGGGTTATTAGTCCCTGGAACCAGAGGAAGTTCTGGGTTATTAGTCCCTGGAACCAGAGGAAGTTCTGGGTTATTAGTCCCTGGAACCAGAGGAAGCTCTGGGTTATTAGTCCCTGGAACCAGAGGAAGTTCTGGGTTATTAGTCCCTGGAACCAGAGGAAGTTCTGGGTTATTATTCCCTGGAACCAGAGGAAGCTCTGGGTTATTAGTCCCTGGAACCAGAGGAAGTTCTGGGTTATTAGTCCCTGGAACCAGAGGAAGTTCTGGGTTATTATTCCCTGGAACCAGAGGAAGTTCTTGGTTATTAGTCCCTGGAACCAGAGGAAGTTCTGGGTTATTAGTCCCTGGAACCAGAGGAAGTTCTGGGTTATTAGTCCCAGGAACCAGAGGAAGTTCTGGGTTATTAGTCCCTGGAACCAGAGGAAGTTCTGGGTTATTAGTCCCAGGAACCAGAGGAAGTTCTGGGTTATTAGTCCCTGGAACAGAGGAAGTTCTGGGTTATTAGCCCCTGGAACCAGAGGAAGTTCTGGGTTATTAGTCCCTGGAACCAGAGGAAGTTCTGGGTTATTAGTCCCTGGAACAGAGGAAGTTCTGGGTTATTAGTCCCAGGAACCAGGGGAAGTTCTGGGTTATTAGCCCCAGGAACCAGAGGAAGTTCTGGGTTATTAGTCCTGGAACCAGAGGAAGTTCTGGGTTATTAGTCCCAGGAACCAGAGGAAGTTCTGGGTTATTAGTCCCAGGAACCAGAGGAAGTTCTGGGTTATTAGTCCCTGGAACCAGAGGAAGTTCTGGGTTATTAGTCCCAGGAACCAGAGGAAGTTCTGGGTTATTAGTCCCTGGAACCAGAGGAAGTTCTGGGTTATTAGTCCCTGGAACCAGAGGAAGTTCTGGGTTATTAGTCCCTGGAACCAGAGGAAGTTCTGGGTTATTTGTCCAGGAACCAGAGGAAGTTCTGGGTTATTAGCCCCAGGAACCAGAGGAAGTTCTGGGTTATTAGTCCTGGAACCAGAGGAAAGTTCTGGGTTATTAGTCCCAGGAACCAGAGGAAGTTCTGGGTTATTAGTCCCAGGAACCAGAGGAAGTTCTGGGTTATTAGTCCCAGGAACCAGAGGAAGTTCTGGGTTATTAGTCCCAGGAACCAGAGGAAGTTCTGGGCAATCAGTCCCAGGAACCAGAGGAAGTTCTGGGCAATCAGTCCCAGGAACCAGAGGAAGTTCTGGGCAATCAGTCCCAGGAACCAGAGGAAGTTCTGGGCAATCAGCCCCAGGAACCAGGGAAGTTCTGGGCAATCAGTCCCAGGAACCAGAGGAAGTTCTGGGCAATCAGTCCCAGGAACCAGAGGAAGTTCTGGGCAATCAGTCCCAGGAACCAGAGATGTGACTACAAAAAGGCAAATAAAATAACACTTGTATACAAAGGTACAATTTATTGCACAGTACCAAAGGTACAGTTCCACACACACACACACACACACACACACACACCACTGAGGACCACCACACAATATATTATTTGCATTTGAATGCTGAAAGCTAAAAAAAGTTAGTGAAAAAAAAAATATATTTATTAAATTTATTAATATAAATTAAAAAAATTTTATATATATATAATAAATAAATAATATAATATATATATATTAATCTGTAATCTAACATAATTTAGTAATTAAGAAAAAAGATTTTTGAGTATTTTGACTAATAAGGGGAAGATTATTGTTCCCGGGGAAAGCTTAAAAATCAAGTATTTTAAAAGCCAATATGAGTTAGATTATAAAAACACTTTTGGGAAAAAAATAAATAATATACATTAACACATTAGTTGTATAATAAAAGGACCAAGGAAACAAAGTACATTTTTTAGCAATTTCGCTTCAAGGAAGCTTTTAAGATTCAAAAAAATTGGACAGAGGTATTAAAGGCTAGGTTGGGTGAATTACTTTTCTAGTGAGGTCCGTTTCGAATTTTCACTAGTGGAAGTGGTGAATGTTGGTGTTGACAAAAGGGCATTTTAATTGGGTGGATATAAGCTATTATTTGGGAAAATAAAAAACAGTAGGCAAAAGGATGGAGGTTGTTGGTGTCACCTCTGGCTTGTTAGTCCGGGAGAGAATGTGATGGAGGGTTTTTTCAGGGGATTCTTGCTAACTTGGTTTTTGGTGCCTGGTTTTGTTTTATTTATTCGAAAGCGTTAGGTTGCGATTAATGCACTTGCGTTGCGGAAATTGTTTCTTTTATCACTAATTGGCGTCCTGAATTTCATAAGATGATTGGTGGAATTTCGGTGTTGACACGGCGTTGTTTAAGTTGTCGTTCCTAATGCGTATATGTAGTTCTTTGAGGCGGTGTGAGGTTTCTTGCTGTTTACTAACGTAGATTTGTCACAGCCTCCACAGGTATAGTGAAAACTCCTGCATTGCTTTGGGGTGCTGGGTTTTGTCCTTTTAGATCCTTTATTGAAGTGGTAAAAAGCGATGGCGGACTCGTGTTAGCTTGTGAAAGAACTTTGAGACGTTAGTGACCTGTGTTGGAAAATTATAACTTTGTTGGAGCGGTGTTGATGCGTGGAGAATATTGATGACTGAAGAGCTCTTTTGCGTTTTGATGAAAAAGAAGGAAATTTAACTCGTGAATGTTTGGTGAATGTAAGACTTTTCCCGTCAAGAAATCAGGATACAAATTCGGTATGCTCTTAGGAAAACCCTGATGATGCCTCTTTTGGTTTGTATCTTGACTGGAATAGAAGGTGTGAGATCATTTTTATTTTGGGTTTCCCGATAAAACTTGAAATCTTAGGTTGTTGTCTACTTTGGTGAATGAGCTTTGGGGAAAAGGGTTTAGCTTTCATTGGCTTTTCTTCTAGTGTAACGAATCGCTGGTTCCCCTGCTTAGCCTTCCTTTGAATCCCGTAAATCAAACGTTTTGGAGTTTTACGAGGACATCGTCCACGTAACGTAACCAGTTGACGCTTGAAGGATATTTTGGCGAAGTGATCAAAACTCTAGGTGTTCCAGAAATAAGTGGCTAGGACGCACTTATTGGGGACCCAATCCCCATCGCTTTACCACTCAATAAAGATCTAACCAGGACAAAACCCAAGAAACCAAAACCAGTCAATGCAGGAGTTTACAATAACCGTGGAGCTGTGACAAATTCTAGTGTTGAAACAGCAAGAAACTCGACACCGCCTCAATGAACACATATACGCATGTAGGAAAACGACAACTTAAACAAGCTGTGTAAAAAACCGAATTCCCCCAAATCATCTTGAAATTCAAGCGCCCAATTAGTATAAAAGAAAATATTCCCACACGAAAGGCCTTGAATCAGCAGATCGTGTTTCGAATAAATTAAACAAAAAACGGCAGTTCAATTTCCAAGTCTTTAGCAAGAATCCTCCTGAAAACAGTAAACCCTGCCATCACATAGTCTCTCCTGTTATACTACACAAGCACAGGAGTGATCACTGAAACAACCTGCCTCATTCCAGTTTATATTTGTCCAACCTATTTTTATATTACCCAAGTAATAGCTTTTATATCCTTTTACTCATGTACGAATTAATTGCTTTTGTCACTACCACTACTACTACTACTACTACCACTAGTGAACATCGAAATGGTACCTCACTAGTATTCACCTCACTCTGAGCCTTTATATACCCTCTGTGTCCATGTATTGTTTGTAATGGCTTGATAAAGCTCCTGGAGAGCGAAACGTTGCTACAATAAATGTCACATTAGTTGCACTTGTGTCCTTTTACTTTACATATTGTCGGTAATTCTACCAACTTTATTACAATAATAGTTATAATAACATATATAACAGTTATACTAACATATATAATTGTTATAATATCGTATATAACAGTTATTTTAACACTGTAATAACTCAACATAATTAGTTATAATTGCACAGTAACTAACCATAAGAAATTGTATGCTCATTTATAACCCTTCAAGGGCTTTTGACCCAAGGAACTGGAGCTACTATATTCCTTCTTGGAGCACCTGAGGCCCACTTAGATTACCTAAGACTCACCTAGAGCACTTCAGGTGCACGTAAGTACCTAAGACTCACTTAGAGCCACCTAGAGTTTGTAAGATTCACCTAGAGTCACCTAGAGCATCAAAGACTCTCCAAGAGGATCTAAGACTCACCTAGTCGCCTAGAGCCTATAAGACTCACGTAGAGTCATCTAGAGCATCTAAGACTCATCTAGAGTCACCTAGAGCATCTAAGACTCACATAGAGTCACCTACAGCATATAAGACTCACCTGGTCACTTAATGCATCTAAGCCTCACCTAGAGTCACCTAGAGCATGTAAGACTCACATAGAGTCACCTACAGCATATAAGACTCACCTGGTCACTTAAAGCATCTAAGCCTCACCTAGAGTCACCTAGAGCACCTAAGACTCCCCTATATTCATCTAATACACTTAAGACTCCCCTGGAGTCACCTAGAGTACGTAAGACACATAAGACTCCCCTGGAGTCACCTAGAATACGTAAGACACATAAGACTCCCCTGTAGTCACCTAGAGTACGTACGACACATAAGACTCCCCTGGAGTCACCTAGAGTACGTAAGACACATAAGACTCCCCTGGAGTCACCTAGAGTACATACGACACATAAGACTCCCCTGGAGTCACCTAGAGTACGTAAGACACATAAGACTCTTCTGTAGTCACCTAGAGTACTTAAGACACATAAGACTCCCTGGAGTCAGCTAGAGTACGTAAGACACATAAGACTCCCCTGGAGTCACCTAGAGTACGTAAGACACATAAGACCCCCCCTGGAGTCAACCTAAAAGTAAGTACGACACATAAGACTCCCCTGGAGTCACCTAGAGTACGTAAGACACGTAAGACTCCCCTGGAGTCACCTAGAGTACGTTAGACACATAAGACTCCCCTGGAGTCACCTATGACTCACTTAAGGCGCAGATGGGCAGCGTAGAGAGAGTCCATTCACCTTCGTGGCAGGTGACATCAAGAATGTTTTCACCTGTGGGGAAGGTGTAGGGGCAGGTGTAGGTGACGACGGTGTTCCACACCTGTACACCTGTGTTGTTGCTCATTACACCTTCCTCCTCGGCAGGTGGTGGTGAGACGCAGGCTAGGGGATGGAGGTGTGTAGGTAAGGGGCAGGTGTGGGGGGTTGGGGTGTGTGTGTGTGTGTGTGTGTGGTGTGTGTGTGTGTGTGTGTGTGTGTGTGTGTGTGTGTGTGTGGGGGGAGAGACAGGTTTTGTGTTGGAAAGACATCAGAAACGTTTTGTTATTATTATTTTATATTATTATTATTATTATTATTATTATTATTAAATTATTATTATTATTATTATTAACAATAATAACTTGTATTTCTTAAATTATTACCACTACCACAACCATCATGAACAACTATCACTACCACAAGCAAGCACCACAAACAAGTACCACCTACCATTAACACACTTAAAGTGAGGGTCGAACTGTGTCCAGTTGTTAGAGAGACAGATTAGTGTCTGAGAGTCTCCTCCTGTGGGCGAAGCCAGACCATAGGGACAAGTGTACGTCACATTACTGCCCACCCAGTACAAGCTACTCTCACCACTCATACTCATATTATATGGAGCAGGTGGAGGCGTGCTGGGGCATTCTGAAAGATAGGGAGGAGAGGGGTAGATATACCCACTAATAGTCATATGAAGCAGGTAGATGTATGCTGGGGCATTCTGAAAGATAGGAAGGAGAGGGGTAGATATATCCAATTTTTCACAATGATTAATCAGTTACTATACTTTTACTGGTTTTATTAGCAGTTCTAATTATTGGTTTCCAATAAAAAATTATTATCACTTATTAAATAATTACACGAGTTTCATAATTATCACAACAGCTATATTACTTTAGCTTAATAATTAATTCTTCTAATAGTTAGAATTTTAACAAGTATGACCTTGTAATATTATATTTTTTAGTAGTATAAGATCACAGTAAAAAGTATATATATATATATATAATAAAATATATATATATATATATATATATTTATATATATATATATATAAAATATATATAATATATATATATTATATTTTATATGTCGTGCCGAATATGTAAAACTGGTCAGTTAGAAAGAACTCATTTAAAATTAAGTCCTTTTAAAAATTTTCTCTTGTAGGTTTAAAGATTATTTTTTCATTAATGTTAATGTAAAAAATTTTAATTTTGCACCAAAAGAATCTTAGAAAACTTACCTAACCTTATTATAACAAGAACATTTATTTTAGCCTAACCCAACTAAATATATTTTAGATTTTTTACAATAATTTAATGCTAAACAACACAGTGAAAAAATATTTTTTTTCGTTAGGTTCACAATGATTTTGGCGAAATTATTGCATACACAAATTTTCACTTGTCCTTATGGCAAGATGACGTTGCTATTTAGCCAAGATCCGCAAGTTCTGCCTATTTCGGCACGACATATATATATATATTATATATATATATATATATATATATTTATATAATATATATATATATATATATTATATATATATATACTGTAAGGTGTATGTGCAGATTATTAAGACAGTGATGGGGATTCTTCTATGAATCTGCTGTTACTGCATGACAATAGATAGATAGACTGGTCCAGGAATAGATCTCTGAACAGAGGGAAAATTTCTGGCTGACCCTAACTTTGCCTGCAGATGAGGATGTCTGTGTTGACGTCCGTCCAATTACCATCATCCTGACAGGTGAGAGGGATGGAGGTATTCAGATCACCGAACACCATCGGGGTAGGGCACGCAAGCGTCAC